ACCCCGCCGCAGGAGATGTCGCTGTAGCCCATGGGCCCGTAGACCTTCTCCCCGGATCCGTAGTGAAGATAGAAATGGAGTCCCTCGACGGCGCCGTGGCGGAACCTCTCGATGTGCGGCTTTCTAAGCCCGCAGGAGGACTGGTCGTGGGTCTTGCCGGATCGATCCTGGCACACGAAACCGCTCTGGGCGTTCCAGGTATCCGAGCTCCCGGTGTCGAAGATGAGCCAGACGGGCGTGTCGTCCCACTTGCATTCGATGGCATACTGGGTAGAGAATCCCCCAACTGCGGTGATGTTTGAGTCGGGCTCGCCCAGTCTCGAGCGTGCTTCGAGAGAAGCGCGCCGGATGAGGGAGGCGGCTGAGCGTTCCTCGTCGGTGCCTTTGACGCGGCGAAGTCGAGACACCTTGGATGTTTGTTTATCGGGCACTAGGATAGGAGCCTTGGTCACTTGCTTGAAAGAGAATCCATTCATGGGCATTGAAATGTCCCAACCCGGGTTAGCCACAACGGCTGCCCAGGCGGTGGTCACCAGGCTCAGGGCGATGGCCACGGCCACGAGGACACGGTTGAGTCCCATGGCTTCACTTATCGATGAAACTGAACTCTTTATCCTAGAGAAGGGGAATCACTTGTCGGACGAAAGTTGAGACAATTTGGAACGCGAAAGGGATTTCCACCGGTTGGGTCGAGGGGTGGGGAGACAGAAGGAAAGGAAGAGAATTGGCAGAGGTGCGAGCTGAAGGAAAAGTGAGCGGCCACCAAATACACGGAACCGCACAGTCTCGCAGCTGTTACCACTGATAAGCGAGCCCGACAACTGATTGCCAATTGAAGACATACCTTCTCAGAATGCAACGCAACTGATCCTCACACAAGCCTTAAACATCTCCAGTCCAAGCCCAACTTGCAAAATGCCGCTGTATTTTAGATATCTCGCCCGAAACTCCATGTGTTTGAACAACGAAAGCCTCTTTATTTCTCTCCCATCCAAAGCACCAACCCGTTCGGATCGTGTTATTTCGGCTCACAGCACATGCAGCCTATCAACCGATAATCGGCAACAATTCAATTCTCAGTTCCTGTTCCAAGCTTACTCCTCCCCTCCTGTTCCTTCTTGTCTCAAACTCTTCCCCTGGCTTGAAACCAACCAAAAACTCTGCGAGGGTATCATAGCCACCCAGAACAACAGTTCGACATGCTACGCAGGTGACAACTTCAATAACTCGGCGATTTCCTCAACGCCGGGCCCTTTGTTACACCTACTACGTCACGCAAACAATCGGCCAGCTTACCGAAACGGATGTAACCACCTCACCCGTCGATGGCATTATATCTAGAAATCAAATCATGATGACGGATCCACGACTCGGGGGGGGGGGGGAACAGGGCACAGATTCATGCATTATTACATCGATCCCGGTTTGATCACGAAGCCAAGTCTGCAACACCATGGCATAATACGCGCCTAAAACGCAGGATATTCGGACTCGGTCCTTCTCATCAACTTGCTCGAAAATAAGGAGCAAGTCTCTATAAATTCTTGAGAACCAACGTCGCCGTTTTGTTCCATCTTGGCCAGCTTGGCGCCAACGTCAAGGGATGGTTTGTCCAACGCTTCAGCTGAAACTTGAGCAGGAGCGGCCAGTTTGGCGGTGGCGTTGAGTTTCATTGAACGCAGATCAAGATGGCGTACTGGTCAAATTTGATGGAGAAAGAGGATAAGGCTACAGACTTGGAGAGGATATCCAAAGCACAGACACTCAGTCGAATCTAGATTGTCCTGCTCTCGTACAAGATCCGAATACCCTATTTATTCCAATCTCGGCCTTTCCGAGTCCATCTATCGACCATCTCCTCATAAATTTGGGGGTTTTCTGTCTTAAAGTCCAACTTTCACCGTTTCTGGCGTCCTCGACGAAGGGATCGAGTCTCCCGGAGCGAGGTCGCTTATTACCAACCATGCTCTCGTCTCAGTCTTTCTCGGATGCTCTCCTAGATCTTGCCCTCGTCCATATCTAACTGCCAGGGGCATGAAAAATCATCTTCTCAAGATGTTTGATAACTTTGACTAGAATAACGCAGGCTTCCAGGGCCAAATCCGGGATCGATATAGCATTAAACCTCCGTGAACCAATAGATCATCCCAATGACGGTAAGATAGGACATCAGTGCCTCTCTATTAGGGCATGGTATCAGCTTCTCAACCTATCGAAGCATCTTCTTGGGCACCAATCCCTCACAATGAGTACGGCTGGCATTGGCAATCACTTTAGCAAGTATAAAGTCATTTCTTTATCAGTATTTACACATCCAATATTTAACTATCATCGAATCATGAATTAAATTGGAATTTCGTGCCTCATTTCCCTCCGTCCACCCTTTTTTCTCTCTCACTCTTCGCCATACCCAGCCCATGCTCGTGTAGTCGAACCCATCGCTCAACGCCACATTCGGTTCACTCTCCTCAGCGCCTTTTCTCCAATCTTTTCCTGGTCGCATCTTCTTGCATATCGTAATGCCACCCATTCTATCCCTGCTCTGCTCCTAGTCTGCCAAATGTACCGCCATAACAAAGTCGGAGCAAGGAAACACCCAGCAGGGTCCTAGGAACAGCAGTGGTGACATCGCGGTCGATCAATGAATCCTTCGTAAGCGTCTGCACTGAAATACACGTAGACAGCACATTGACGAGATTTGGGTGTCCTGAGAAGAAGAAAAAAAGACGAGATCGCAGAGGTTTGTTTCGTAGAGGAGGCCGTATCACCTGCATATGTAAGGATGGCGAAAGATTTTGAATCGATCCGGGGAAGCCTTGGGATAGCAGATAAACTCTGGCTGCGCTTGATCTATGGTGAAGAACTCGAGTTTCAAAATGATTGAAATATTAGTATGTCGTCGGCGTGCAAGCGCCTATATTCATATGCCTTTCCAGGCGATAGTTGGAAAAAAAGATACGATCGTATCAAAGAGAAGAGTCGTGAGATTGCCTTTAAACGCCACTTGCCATGCCCCTGTAACGCTTCTTTTAAACAGATATACGCTCGCTTTCGTCGTCCAGGGAGGAATTTCAGCCGTCATCAAGTTGAGCGCCCGCGCCCCCGGAAATATCGTTTGTCCATCACTAGGTCTCAAACCTATGTTGCTGAACCATTATGTCTTCTGCTTCTTTTTCTGAGCAACTTCTGTACTGTCCGTTCCATCATCTTGATCCTCGTCATCTGTGTAGTCCGCCTCGGACGCCACCCTCTTGTTGCCCTGCTTGTCGTCTTGTGACTTCTCAGCGCGGTCGGTAGCGCCATGGGGATTGAGCAGATAATTGATATCGGGTGCTGCCATATCAAGGATATTGTCATCGACCTCCAATATACCAACTCCCTCATCCTTCCCGTCGCATTCGTCACACACGCCGATGAAGGGATGATCCTCTATGTACACGCCGCGCTCGCATGCACCGAATCTGCCTGCGTTCTTGGCTTGCAGGCAAGATAGCTCCTGTGTGAGATCATCCCACGGCTCCTTCTTCTCTTGACACTCGCTGCAATGGCCCACGAAAATAAGTTTTCGGCACATTCTTGGCGAACGTAGAGTGTCCGTCGGTCAGACAGGAGCCGAGTGCCGGGTTGTGGTCGTGTAACAAAGAGGGAAAGTCGTTCTTGGTGCTTCGTTTGTTCGAAGCTTCTACTTCGACAGGCAGCCGGGGACCTCTGTTTCGACTCGGGATAGAACCAGGCCAGAGGAAATGTAAGCAGTTGGTGTCTATGAGCACCACGGATGAATGGCTACTCATTCGTCTAGGGCAGCAGGCCGATAATACAAAGTCGCAAGGGCTGATAGAACAAAATGTATAGAGACGGTAGATCATGAAAGCGTCAAACAGATTTAGCGTGCGCCTCGATTTGCGTCTCTGTATAGAAGATAGGAAATTTCTTTGCTATGTAAGTCAGAATGAGGCTCGATGTAGGACGGGAATAGTCTTGTAAGAGGAAGGGTAGGATGAAAGGGGGCGATAGTTGGAAGAATAGGTCCGTCGCCAGAGCGCGAGCCCTATCGTGTCTTACCAGATGTTAGTCGTAGATTTGACCTCACGCAACAAACCAACACAGGGACGGCCGATCCCATTCATTCATTCTCTTCCTGCGTCGTGCTCGACTCTAAAAGGAGGAGAGAGTACACGCTCCCGATTTGAGCGATTGACCCGTGCGCACTCTGGTCGTGCGTTGCGGCGCATCTATATCACTGGTCGTCGGCGACTCCGCCCAGATCCGCGCAGCCTTGACTTTGACTTTGACGCACTCTTATCAGGATCCGGGGTACTGTTCGGCGCTGCCAATCTGGTAGACAGCCGGCGCGGCGGGTGGTAAGCAGCGTCTGAGGCGGCTTATGGTCGACGGCGACAATATCGAGGAGGGAAAAAGGCAACCACCGATCCTCGTTCCAAATGGACAATGGATGGACGGGTGGAGGGATGGGTGGATGGATGGCGCTGGGGATGGAGAAGAAGAGGGAAATTCTGTATGCACGGCAGAGACACAGCGAGAAAGTGGGAGGGATGTCTCTCGCTTCCAGCAAGAAAAGGTAGCAGGTACAAAGGCGCCCGACACTGGGCCAGCACCCGCCTGCATGACACTACGATCCAAGTGAATCAGATGATGGTTACCTTGCCTGTAATTGCTACTACCTACATTAATTACCCTGCCTGTCGCATCTGCGGCGTCCAATGCCATGCCCTGCCAAGCTGGACCTTGTGCTGCTTCGCTGCCATATTTGCTTTTGCGCTGCTTGGCCACCAATGCTCCAACCGGACATGATTGGCACGCCTCGGGGAGCAGCAAATTCAATTCACGTAGAGGGCGGGCGATATGCTTTCGTCCCACCCCGCCAGGCAGCACAATGGTATGGATATCAAGTCGTTGGCTGCAGCCTGCGAGGCCGTCAGTTATCACATTCCGCCGCACAGAATGTACCAGTTTGTCGCACCCTGCAGACATGAGATGCAATGGCGCAGTCACTAGACCCGCCCGCGTACACCCACACTCGGCCTGCTGCATTGTATCGTATGTCGTATACACTGTAGATAGTTGTCTCCTCTGGGGCTTCGAGGAGAGAAGTAAGTTCGGATCCCAGATGGACGTGAGCTCGATCATGGATAGGTTCTGAGAGCAGCGCTAGCAGGGGGGAATATCGTGGTGCGTCAAGAGACAACTGCCGGCGATTAATTAATAGCAGCACAAACCTGCTAATTGAAGCCAAAGTACTAACCTGGGTAGGTACGTGCTAAAGCCGGGTACTTCCATCTCGTCCCATCCCACATCCACCCATCCCACCAGCCCATCTCAACAACCAGCACCACAACCTTGGCTTGGGAACGACTCAGGATAGCATCATCGCCCAGGCTAGCGGCGAGTCTCCTCTCGGCCAGACTACGCGACCCATGCACTGCTGGCGGCCGCATCTTCCTCCCCAAAACTCGCCCATGTCTCTCGCAGTGCAGCCCAGTCAGAGTCGATTGGCCTGGCATGTGGGATCCTACCAGAGCGAACGGGCCGCCTCCGCAGCTAACTGAAAAACAGTGGACGCTTTACGAGGCCCGACCCAGCGGCATCCTGCATCCAGCGTAGTGCCACGGCGGCTAGCGATTGAAATTGACCACTCAGGGGGGAGCCAGACCCGAGCAAGGGCATACTGGCAGTCCTGAAATCCATCCATCCTTCCTTGATATATTCCTTGCCCTCTCGCACCCTCTTCGCGATTCTGATCTGCCTCTAATAGACCACACTATATACTCCTATCTACCTAAAGATATGTACGTTTCGGGTCGTGGCAAGACATATTGATATCCATGTCGAGCTGAGAAAAGAAGTGGGCACACCCCATCGCTCTCATGATCCATCCCCATCATATCTCATCCCAATCTCACCTTCCCATGCAGACAAAAGAAAGTTCTCTGGGGAGGTAGCCCGCCCAAGCAATCATGTGAGAGGAATCCATCGGCGATGCCCCATGGAAAAAAAAGAAAATATCTACACATCTACGCAAGGTAGTACTAAAGGAGTAAACTGCTCCTAGCGTCTCCAAGTTCCAGCATGGTTCTATTGAAAGGCGATTGGGTATTGATTATCTTGTCTCTGCTACCGTGCCAGTATTCTCCTTGAAAGAAGCAATTCCTCGAGTCTCCTTGTTATCTCTCGACACAATCCCCCACTCAGGTCCTTCAAACATCCCCTTAGTTCACCTTATGTCCCAATTAGTCGGCACTCAGAAAGTGGCCCGGATGGGTTCGGTAGGGAGGTCAACTGAGACCCAACTCGCACCGACCACACCGAGTAGGCAATAAACCTTGAGGAAAAGAGGGAAAAATAAAATTCCCACGTGAAGAGCATCCGTAAGCCTTCGGGCAACTTGACCTCCCACACCGCAGTCACGATCCAAAGTTAAAGCATGGCCATAGCTCAGGTCAATAGATCACATAACCACAACAAAGGCGCTATGAACTGTTCCCGAAGCAAGCCGTGTGCTGATCCCGCCTCCTTTGTTGCTTCCTCGAAGCTAAATCTGCCTTCTGTTGTCTGTTCCGGCCGCTGGGTCAGTTCCGCATTGCAAAGCCTCCCGGGGCAGGAGGCACTGAGAATTGAACACTTCCCACCCACCTTCAATTTACAAAATATTCCGACCATTCATGATGATATTCCAGCGCTCATGGTCATTTCTCAGCTCTAGATGATATCCCAAGGAAGAATCACGATGTTTAGGTTCGGACAAAGGGCACACTTTCGGGCGTCACCTACATCCCAAGGTTTCCAACAGCCCAACCCAGAAAATGTTCACCAACAGCCTCAAAACTTGAAAAATGGGTATAGAAACCTTCTTCAAAGGTTGATAAATATGTTCCCTGCCCGTCCCCTTGCGTCCATTCTCTTCTCCCCAGCCCCATCCCTCCTGTTCCAGACGAACCTCTAAAGACAACCGCATTGTTATCAACAAAGACACCCAGGTTACCACAGTCAAAGGAGTCTCCTAGACCACAACCATCACAAAACATTTATTAACTCCTTCTAAGTCACTCTCGCTTTTGACACATACTCCCCATACACTCATTATCATATAAAAAAACAACACCCAATAAGCCGGCACACAAATATGTCCGCCAACCGGGCCGCCCGGCGCCACGGTCTCTCGTCCCGCAGCAGACGAGCAGCCGCCGCCGACACCAACATGTACGACGACGGGGAGGACTCGCTGGAACCCATCTACCAGTGCGTCCTCGAAACGACCAACCACCACTGCCAGGACTGCAGGCGATACCTGGGGAGAGCGGTCTTCCGGGACCTGTGTGACGGGTGCAAGTATAACGCGAGCAACTGGTCCTGCAATACGCGGTCCCTGCGGGAGGATAGTTTCGTCTCTGCGTGGAGTTGCTACTATTGCGTTTCGGACGCGTTGCAGATACTGATGAGATCGTGAGAACCAGCGAAGGGTAGAGGACGTTCCAGTTCAACCTCCCAAAGCGTGCTTGACTTATTCATTTTGATATATCTTATCGGCGGACAGCGTTCTGGTATTTTCTTGGATTTTCTCTCTTGCTGCGTTGGATAATTAGCACGAGTTTGTTCCGGATACTGTCGAAAACAACGTGTGCATAGCAGAGTTAAATGATATAATATAATACGATTCACTTCTTTCATGCCATTGAAATTAGATTTGTGATTATTTGCTACGTGAAGAATAGGGGATGCCTACTATGCACTAAAAATGCTTCCCCTTTTCCCTCCCAGAACTCCTTTCCAAATCCAGCTTCCACCAAACACCGCGCAATCCTCGTTTGCAATTTGGAAAATAAAGTAGGAAATCAGCTAGCCTTCGGAAGATGAACATGGAGGAATGAATACGCTTCACAGCCCCTTTCAACCAGCCCTTTTGAAGCTGCGCACCCCCTAGAGAGCTTGGAGACTAAACCCATCGGATGAGGTACTGAGGATGTATGGACAAGAGTCGTTCGGCAGGTGTCAATTGAGAATGTTTGTAGATCGTTTCGCCTTCAGGCAAAAGTGCAAAGCTTCAACATGCAAACATAGTTCAAGAGGACCAGAGGCCTAGATTCACGACACCACCAAGAAGCGAGTGAGAGTCAAAGCCTACGCCAGACGCAGGCAGGCAGGTTGGAGGTTAGTGGGCGATGGTGAATCCCCATATCACACACACAGGCGAACGCACACAACTGCTTCCTTGAGCAGGCTTTCCGTTTCGTGGCGAGCGCCGCTTGTGAGTACCTTTCGGGTCACTCAGCAACCCTGGGCATCCAATGGACGAGTTTCAAATGACGAAGTACGCGTCTGTCAACAGCCTGGTATCCATGTGAGGAACCTAGCGATAACGCCGAAAAATGCACCGGAGAAGTCGGTATAGAGTAAGTATACGGTCATCAGTGACAGAAAAAAAGAAAAGAAAACGCCATGCGCTTCGGCGAGAGGAGAAATGGAGACGATGGTACGATGTTGGAATTGTGACAAGGCGCCGGGCGCTGCCAAGGTCGTGCTTTTGTTTTCAAATCAAGCGAAGTAGCATCAGTCAAATCAGGCATCTCGAATGGTGCTTCAGCTTCCACTGGAGGGTGGATTAGAAACTCGATCAGGGTTACCCAATAATGAGAGAGCACAAGATCGTCATCATGAGACATCACTAAGATCCAGGGGCGGGCGCTCCAGCAGGCGCTCCCTGGCCGCCTTGTTGTTGCTGCTGGTACATTAGAGACTGGTACCAGAGTGCCACATAGTTCTGGTATCCGCCATCTGCCAAAGTGTTAGTATACCAAACGGTGGAAGAAAGATTTCACGTCAAAGTCTCACATTGGGCGTAGGGGTCAGCGCTATCGCCGGAGGGGGCTTGGGATGGTGGGTTAGTAGAATGGCTGGGGGCTTGTCGAGAAGAGTTGTCCCTTCGGTCATGATCCTGGCGAGGGCCACGGCCGCCGCCGGAGCTTGATTTCTGCTTCTATGAGGGTTGTTAGCTGGACATGGACTATAAATGTAAACAAGAGCTTCGGTGAGACTTACCACTGCCTCAACCTTCTCGTCAATCGCCTGCTTGGCACGCGCAATACTATCGCGGGTACCGATAAGAGCAATCTCCCTCTGAACCTCGTCCGGACCAGACGACTGAGCTACGTTGATTTTGCAGCCAGTCGCGCTCTGCATCTCCCGAATCGTTTCGCCTCCTTTACCTATAATCATGCCCACGGCCTCGGACGGCACGTAGATGGCATCGTTAATCTTGTCAGGTCCATTAGTAGCACCCATCCCGGGCGCATCTCGGCGGGGTGTGTCGTTGCGGCTCCCGGGCGCGGGTTTGACGCCTGGTGGTGCTTCTCCTCGACTATCACTGTCCACAATCTCCAGGATGAAGTCCTTGGCCTTGGCGGCAGCCTCTCGAGTTCCGATAAGGTTGACAGGCCTCAAGCCGTTGACGCTCTTCGATTCCCCGACAATGTTAATGTGGCATCCAGATCGCTCTTGGAGATCACGAATAGTTTCGCCTCCTCGACCGATAATAAGGCCAACGGTACGATCCGGTACCATGATCTGCATATGGTCTTCGCCGTCACGGAGGGCGGCCGCGCCGCCCTTACTCGGATCGCGGGGCTTCTCGTGGGCGCGGTTGAGGGGTCCCATACCGCTATCCTCGATGATACGGTTGATAGCTGTCTTGACTTCGGCACGAGCATGTCTCGGGCCGGTGATTTTGCACTGCCGGAAGGGTCCGTTGTCGCTTGCCGGAAGGAACTGGACACGGCAGTTGGTGTCACCTTCGATACGCCTAAGATTCTCTCCCTGACGGCCGATAATCAAGCCAACCAGGCTGGATTCGATCTGAATTGTTTCTGACTGGTCATCCCCACCACGGATAGGTGATCGTTCACGACCGCTGCCTCGGGGCGAAAAGGGTCGACCGCCCCTGGGCCCAGGAGAGTAGGAACGTTCGCGGGCGTATTCTCGGCCATGTCCTCCCCGACGATCATCTCGATACATATTGTCGCCATGGTCACCTCGATGAGGGGATCGCGATCTTGACCTGCCATAGGGTCGCTCCGTATTTCTGGCATCGGCATTGTAGACAATCGGGCGGTCGTACGGGGTAGCGCCCTTCTCCGCGGCAGAGGCTCGAATCTTGGACAGTGCGTCGTTGAAGTTCATGGTGCCCGAATTTACAGGTCGAATGGCACTGAGATCTAGGTTCCCGCTCGAGGCTGGCGCCGGGAGACCAAGGCCAGGATGTCCATATCCAGGAGCACCCGGTGGCGGCGGCGCTTGGTACAGGCCTGGCTGTGTCGATGAAGAGGGAGGAGGGTATGGGACATTGGCAACATTTGGAGGAGTCTGCGTCGGCGTCGCCCCAGCTGGGGGTCTTTGCTGGGCTGAGGCAGAGAATTGGTCAGTTGGCCATCAAAAAATTCGGTCAGGCGAACCCGAACCATCAGGGTCGTCACGAAACTCACCAAGGGCCGCGAGAATGCTCTGAATCTTGCTTGGATCCGCGTCCATGTTCACGCAATAGTATGAGAAATGAAGG